CATCGTCATCTTCTCTAAAGCAAGAGGCGTAAAAAGTGTCTTAAGAGCGAGTAGCGGGAGGTAGCCAAGAGAGCCGTAGTTTCGTTCGAAAAGTCGAGGAGCTATTGCAGCCTCGAATTCCAGCGAGCATTCAAGGGCCACAAATTTGAATTTTCGATTTGAGCGAGCGGCTCGCGGCTTTCGACATTTCCCACGGCAATCCGCTGACCCGAGGCGCACGGCGTTACGCAAGCGGCTCCTGGACGAGATTACGATCGGGGAAGACCGCGCACCCGCACCTCGTCCAACTGGTAGGCCGCCCTGCCCCCGAGTCCCGGTTGTCTTCCTAGTTAAGCTCGGCTACGCGACGGTTACACAAAACACGGCTCCCGGACCCGCCGCCGAACATGAGTCTGCGGAATTTCAACACGCAAATTCACCGCGAGATAAGGCTGCCAACGCGAGCAGACAAAAGCACTTTTACACTCACTCGCAATTTAAGGGATTTCACAAAGGAACGTTTTAATAACTTGGCTTGTTTATTCCGGACCTCGAGCCTCGCGGAAAACACACGCTGCCGATGGTTTTTTAAATTATCGCTAATTACTGAAAACCGGTACGGATAGTTTGCGCTACTTGCAGTGCCCCGAGTCTAACTAATATAAATTGAAAAAGCATGAAAAGTATATACGAGCTTAGGAGAGATTAAATTTCCTTATACGATAATTAAAGGGAGGTTGTAAAAACTATAATGAAATTTCATGAATTGCATAACCGACTGCATGCCGTATGTCTTACTTGCTTCTTGGCATCTCTAAGGATGCTGCTTATGCATATTTAATAAGCCCCGCTTGAGTTAAATAAATTTCTTCTTTTATAAGGTTTGCACAATTTCAAAAGTATCCTTAACTCGTATTTGTATCCCATCTCACATTGGATCGAAAGGTTAGGAAAATATAACAAACGTATATTGCTTACTTAGCTTAATGATAAATTTCTCTTTAAATGCCCGTTTCTCCTTTTAATCGCTCTGACGAACATAACTACTACATTTATTAAGGAGATCTTGAACCTTATATTATCTATTTTATCGTTGTTGTTGATGCCGCTAATTTTATCGTTGTTATTGCCGTTATTGTTACATTGCGTAGCGTACAGACTGAAATGCATTGAAAAAGCATTGAAAAAGCAATTTCAAATTGAGAGTTTGAAATTAAATTAATTGACGCAAAGCAATGCCCACGTTAAATTTCTTTCATTGCCCATGGTTATTATACTCGAAAAATCCAATGCTATTTATCATTTAGACAAATAACAAATTTTTAATCGACGATAATTATATATTGAAATATATACATTTGACATTTTATATTATACGTACATTTTCCTCCCTACCTTGGCTCTTACCCAATCTTATGAGAATTTCTTGAAAACTAGTAATTTTATTATGACAGTGTCAGGATATTGAAGATCTCCGATTAGATGGCACGTCGTGGCGAAATATTACTTTTTAAATGATTCGAAATGCAAATCAATCGTTTATACATCCTAATTCTTCGTTTAATTTACGTTGGCTTATTTCAGTATGGAATTCCTATCGTATCCAACATTTATCACACGAATATCTATTGAAAATCTCACTTTTCAATAGACGTATAAGACAAGTTGCGTAGAAAAATTTAACGTTCCTTTAATGAAAAAATCCATTCCAATTAAATACCACTAAATTTACACAAGATATTTTTTACAATCTTAAAACTTATCTATACATCAACTAACTATCTTAAAGTTAGCTAAAGTAAAATAAGCTATTGCATATAACGTTATTATTATT